CTACCTTCTTTGCCACTTCAGAAATTCTTCCTCAGGAAATCTGTTTTTTGGGCTCCATTCAGTTGTTTGACCATAGAATATGCCAGCATAAGAGGATATGTTATAAAGCAGTGCTCACAAGCAGTGGGTTTATATTCTTAGGATGCTGTGATGGGGTGAACAAACCCAACACTAGGCAACAAGGGGTTAAGGAATTACTTTGGGTCCAGCCAGCCCCACCCCACCACACTTGTAGGAAATGCTCCAACTGGAGGAGGAGTTAAAAGATGGGGGAACCGCTCATTTGGTGGCAGACCAAGGAAGAGAGCAGACCTGCAAGCTGCTGCTCCCGGGAAGGCAGAATCTCTCCCTAAGACAACTGCCCAAAGGTCCCTTCCAGAGAGAAGGGAGGACCTGACACAGAGGCAGCCTGACAGAGCAACATTTCCCTCTCCCTTCATATGAACTCTGGACTTTGGTAATCCCTTTTGTTTTCATTTGGACTACCCCAGCAGGGGAGAGCCCTTGGACTGAGCTGGCGCTGGAGGCTGGACCGTACCACAGGAGGAGGCAGCTGCCACTTGAGAAAGAGAGTTACCACACTGTACACTGACCCCAGAAGGTGCTTTGTGGTGAGCAGGCACCCTTCACACCACCTTAACCCAGCCGGCAGCCTGGGGACAGTCACAGGTGGGGAGATAGGAAATGGCCCAGAGAGGGGCTATCCCTTAAGCAGCCTTGGCTGTCAGATCACTGACAGCCCTCAAAGGGCCCTGGGTGGGAGCCTGGTGAAGTGGGAAGGTCTGGGCTCCCCTACCAACAACCTCCCTGCAGGTCATGGGCCTTAGCCCTGACCACCAGAGGACACTACCTGACCAACCAACCTCCGAGTGAGGACCATCAGAGATGCACTCCAGCACTTTCCATGAGAGTGATGTACATCATGGCCAAAAGACAATATTCGGGCAGACTGGATGAGTTACCAGACCCAAATCCCTGGAGAGTGTAATCTCAATTAGGAGGTATTCTCTTGATTTTTCTTTGCCAGTGAGCTTTGCCATGTGTGGTCGACCACCAGACACACTGTAAACCATGATTAGTCTTACATTAGCATGGGTGCCTATCTGTTCCTCCCCTGTTTTCATGAATGTTCTGACCACCTTTACTGTACCTCTCTGTCTTTGCTTTCTGGGCCTGATCGTCCTTATGCTAAACCAATGCCAGAGACGACTCCTTTATATTGAATGCCTCATGCAATGTCCCATTCCCTTAAAAAATCCTTCTTACAACAGTCAGATGGCCTTGAGGGTGATAAGGACTCGTTTCTCCTGATTTTCTCCCGTAGCCAAATGCTTGGCTATTAGCAGGAAACATTCCTTCCTTGGTCCTTACTATTGTATTTAGAGTATTTTTTTAACGGTTGCTCCCAGAAAGATCTCACTGATCACTACCTCTTTACATGTTTTTTATTTTTATTTTTACTGTGTTCAACAAAGGCCTCAGGCACATAATTTTCTAGAGGCAGATGATTAGCACATCTGCTGTCTAAAATCACATAAAAGACATTGTGTTTTGTTCACGCTCCAGTCTTCTTTTTCTACAGTGCTATGTTGCCTCATTTTGATCCCTTTTACTCGCTTAGTACAAACTGGTCTTTTATTTATGTAGGAACATAGGACTTGCTTTACCAGCTTAGCCCAGTGGTCCATCTAATCCAAATCCCTGTCTCTGACAGTTGGTAGTACCAGATACTTCATAGAAAGATTCAAGAATCTCCATAATGGACAATAGGGATAGTTTCCTTGTAAACCCCCATCAGTTAGAGGTTGGCCTATGCCCTGAAACATGAAGGTTTGTATACTGTATACAAAATGTTATCCTGTCTCATATAATTGTGGATGTTCTTATTTAACCCAACAAACCCTTGTTGAAAGTCTAAGGGCGGATCCATGGTCGGTGGTTGGAGCATGCTGTCAGTGCATTCCTTCTGTGAATGTTCTGTTATAGTTAGTTGTTGTTAGTAATAGCGGTACTCATTTTGGCTTCCTTGGACCCCATTTTCTTTATTTTCTATTTGTTCCTGCTCTCAGTAGTCTGAACTCTGGGCTTAAGTGGTTCTGGGGGAACTTATGCCAAGGTCCCCTGGCTTCAAGCCCTACTCTGGGTGTCCCAGGCCGTTGGCCATGAGTATTCCTCACCCTCACTGTCTGAAGTGCTTGGGCGAGAGTCAGGGACAGGTATCTGATTTGACACGGCTTCAAGACAAGAACTAACAAGCTAAGAGAAGAGCATCTCAGATACATTTTCATGGAGACACCCTTCCCACAGCATTGGATCCACCTCAGTCGGATAGAGGTCATTCCTCAACACTCTGTCCAGGAGTGTTCCCCCAGTTTTACCTGTGAATGGAGACAGGAGAAATTCCCCCTCATCAGGGCATTCCTCAAAGAGAGACAAGTTCTTTGCGTACCCTCAGCCTCTGAAGCCTAAGAAGAGAATGGCTTTGACATCCTACTCCTCCTCGCAGTATGAAGTGGGTTCCTATGTCTCCCACTTCAGGAAATCTAGGGCATCCTCCAAGCAGTGACTGCTTAAGACAATCTGCTGCCCTGCAGCTTCCTGAATGCCCCCTCCTACCTCCTGGTCAGTTCCCCTTTAGGGTGACAAAGCGGAAAATATAGCAGCTTGCTCCTCTATAAACAGGTTTCCCTGGAAGGACCCCCACTGGGATCCCCCAACCCAAGGAGCCAGCGGTTCTGTCCAGCCCCACCCCACATTAGGGATCTATCTCTAAGAGTACCATGTGCTAGGACTTGTGAGATGGGGCTTCATCTGCCCCACCAATTCTGGCTCTGGCCCTCCTGAGTGAACCCTTCTGGATGTCAATCTGAAGGTCACCCAGGGTTCAGGAGGAGCTGCACTCAGCCAGCTGGGGCTCTGATGTGAGGCTGGGGGAGGGGAGCCATGCAATACATGGGTAGAACAATGGGGGGTAATAATACAGGACTGGAGTCTGGACACAATGAGGGATTGGGGACAGGACCTGGGTGAAGACCAGGACACAGAGGACAGATGCGGTGGTCGCACTGTCTGCTCTGCTGACTTCCCTGGATGTGGCAGACTCGGCTGACAAAGTCATGGTGATGGCAGTAACCATGAGATGCTTGTCATGCCTCCTGTTATCGGGGATCCCTGTAGAAGTACAACAGATTTTTAAAGATCTCCCCTTCAAGGGCTGTGCCTTATTCTTCTGGAAGATGGATGAAGCACGGCATATGTTAAAAGATTCTAGGCCAGTGTTGACATCCCTGCCCCTGTATACACCAGCCCCCAAAAGAACAAAATTTTGACCCGTGTTTCAACCAAGGCAGCAGTATTATATGCCTAGACAAGCAGATCAGTCTAGTCAAAAACACAAGCAAGGAGGGAGGAGGCCCCAACCATCCACTTCTGCCAACGCTTCATCCGGGCAGCTGCATGTCTCAAAGCAGCCTGTTTGGGTCTCTTCCCAGCTGTTTGTCTCCTATGCAGAAGGAAGGGATGGCGTCCTGTAACATTGCAGTGGCTTTCCAAGTGGATCACCAGCTGTATTGTCATATATTACAAGATCAAGGGCATAATGCCTCATGAAAAGTTCTGTGCATTCAACCAGAGCGCACACAACCTCCACAGTGGTTGTAAGAAACATCCTTATCATGGATCTCTGAAGGGTGGCAAAATGGTCTTCAGTCCACACTTTTGCTAGATGCAATTATTTACCACATCAAGAGAAGACACGAATTTGAGGAAAGCAGTCCTGCAGTCCCTTGTCCGATGAAATTCCTAGCCCTTCCTCCAGCGGAAACTTGCTTGGAAGACACCTAGTATAATGGGCATATGCAGTAACACAAAGAAAAATATTTACTCTCCTCTCATAACTGCTGTTCCTTGAGATGGGTTGCATATGTCCATTACACGACCCACCCTCCTTCCCCAATGCCTCAGAGCCTGTCATCTAAGAATCCAGTACGAAGCTCTTGGCATGGAGCATGAAGAACAGCAAGGTTCAGGAGTGGTCTCCTCTGTGGATACTGCTAAGGAAAACTCGCCAACACTGGTGCACAATGCATTCACACACTTAGTATGATGGACATACGCAACACATCTCAAAGAATAACAGCTGTCTGAGGTGAGAAACCATTTCTTCTAGTGAATATGTTTGTTGTAGTCATTCCACTTCTCCCATAATACCATTCTCCCTCTTATATTGCTTTTCTACATATATATTAAACATCTACTATAAGATTTTATGGACCTGTTTTCAAAGGAGCCAAATTAAATCAGGTGCTCAACTCCCATTGAATTTTGGTGGGAATTGAACACCTAAATCCCTTGTGCTGCTTTGAAAATCACAGCCTTAGTCATTTTTTAAATAACAATGTGAAATTTAGCTATCTATTCCTCCTCTGACTGACTGACGTTTTGCTTTTGTGGTTCCTGGTAGTTGTAGCTCTATGGTTGCTGTATGGAATCTTGTTTTGTACAGTGGGAGAAAAGGAAGGACAAAAAAAATTATAGTAAATGTACACAAAAGACCAGATTTCATGGGGGAGACTAGATTTCACGGTCTCTGACCCTTTTTTTTATGTCCATGAATTTGGTAGGGCCCTAGTTATATATAATGTAAGATTTGTGCACTTAATTTTCATTATCTACCACATGATTGTAATTATAACAAATATATTGTTCCATACGGCAATGTTTAGATATTATTACTACAATAAAACGTGCAAAGTGAGTGTTTATTAAGGTAAACTATATCTGTTTTGAATAATGTTAATTACAACATTTTAGGACAAAAGTTTGTTCGAATTCAGAATTATAAAACCATTTATAATTACAATTAAAAACTTAAGCTTTGAAAATAAGGTCTTAGAAAATTATTGCAAATTCACAGTAGTAGCTGTTTTAAATGATATTTCTATGACTTATACCATATAATGCCAGAGTATAATGCCTTTGAGGAACATTTCTTTTCTCAGCGTTGCATTTGGGAACTGCAACGGTTTGGCTGTTGTGGATTTTATGCAGAAGACAGTATTGCTGAGCATGGGAACCATTGACCTCTACGGATCAAGTGATCCATACCAGCGTCAGCCCCGTTCTCCACGCAAAAACAAGCAGTTCACTGCAGGTAGGAGATAAAACACAGTTATTTTGAACCTGACTCATTCTTTGTTTTCTTGCTTGCGGCTTTTTATAGTGCTTTTGAAATGCATGATTATCTGCCAGCCAATGGAATTTATAGAACCATATCAAAGAAATCTGACTGCTCCTTAGGTACCGAAACTTCCTCAAATGCAAAGCGTTATGTACGACGCTTAATTGTTTGGGATGGTGGTCAGCAAGTAATCTCCCTAGCTGAGTCCCTAAGTAATTGTTATCAGTAGAAAAACGGATTGTCTTAATGCTAGCCAACTCATGATGTGCACAGTCAATATGTTGATTTTTTTCCAGTTGCCAAATGCTTCAGACAGATAAGTAAGATTTCACTTTAAAGCAACATGTATCCTCTGCCAAATCACGTGCTTTTGTCTTTAAATAAATCTTTATGGTCGAAGGACTAACTAAAGAAACAGATCCAAGGGACATCTTCATTAAGTAGCTAAGCAGCTTAAGACAGGAAGTAGACATTTTTATTCTCCTCCATTGGATATAGTAACTAGAGCGCTTGATAGAAGCTTATTAAATCTGTCTGCAATTTTTTAAAAATTTTATGTCAAGAAGCATATGGCAGACATCATTAAGTATTGCATAGTGGAAATAAGTTTCCACCAATACAATTACACTTTGGCTTATGCTTCTGTTAATATAAAATTTCCATTTGTGTCAGAAAATTAGTAAAATGAATACTTTATATTTGTGTAAAATATTTTGTCGATATGTTTCATTTTTACACAATTAAAACAGTCTTATTGACGGACACAGTTATGAAATTTTGAAGTTGGTAACAAAACAATTTGGATGAAAACTTTCAGGGTTTATAATCTAGTCATGAATTTTGAAAAATGTAAATTGTAGTGTACTATTAACTTATGACAACTATATGTTTATCAATATGTCCTACACTAAGGCACCCAGTCATGTTCTCATTGGAATCAGTGGGAATTTTGCCACTGACTTCGGTGGAAGAAAGATTGGACTCTAAATTATTAAAACTTAAATAAACCTCCATGTTCTACTTTTGTCCCTGAAATACTGTTTATCTCATTTTACAAATATCTAACCCCATCAGGTTCAGTTCTCAGCTATGCCAAGTGTAAAGATGATATAAACTTGCCACACTGATGAGAGCAACTTCTGGTCTGGCTGGGGCCACAGCAGCCCCCCCATAACTTTGCTGCTCTCTTAACCACGCTTCAACCAGACACTGCAGCAACTGCACAGGAGGGGGACTGTGGGTAGCTTTGTGCCACCTGAGGATTCCCTTGTGTCAGGCAGAATCTTTTGCTATTCCTTTAGGGCAACATTCCAGCTGTTTTGTGCAGCTGATAATTGAGCCCATCTTGTATAAATACCTACTGAATATAACAATCTTTTTTAGACCACTCATAAAAACTATGCATCTGAATATAACCTCAGCTGCTTTCTCACCATCCATCCCACACCTTTTACTTTTCTGGATTATTATTTTCCTTGTTATATCTTCTGACCAGAGGGTAAACATCTGCTGAAATTTCTTCATCTTGGCTGTTCTAGATGCTGGTTATAATATCACATCCTTTCACTTTAGACTGTTTTTTTTCTCTTTTTCCTCTGCCTGCTGCTGATGCTGGTGTACTGGCATGTTCCAAAGACAACTTTTGCATGCGTGGCCTGTCTAACTTTTATCCAGATTTAACGAAACGGATCCGTACTTCCTATCAGAGTAAGTTCTATAAAGGTTAGGCAAACAGCTTTATCACAATCAGAATATGCCTGACTTAAAGCCATATGTTTGTGCTCCGTAATGTGTTTCTTTAAACACATTCAGCATGCATGCAAATTTTTAAAATTTTATTTTACAAGAAATGTAAACCATGTTGAGTGCTGACAATTGTTTTCATTACACCAACATTTCAGGTCTGTTTCTGCTGCTAGTGAAATCAATGACAAAACTCTCATTGACTTACCATGGGGTTGGGCCTTAAAATGGATTATTCAGCAATGTTAACTTCCTGATGATCACTAACATCCATTGTTTTTGTGTTAATTTTAACGTGTATCTACTTACGTGAAGCATCTCTTATTTTGAGATGGTCCTGCCCCAGTGTAGTTGTAAATAAATTAACTATTCTACTGTTTTAGAACACCAGTGTGGTCTATAGAACTAAGCAGTGGCATGGGAGCCAAGAATACGAAGTTCTGAGCCTGGCTGTGTACTTGGCTTACTGTGTGGCTCTGGACAAATGAGCCCATCTCTCTGAGCCTTGGTTTCCACGTGTGTAAAATAGGTATTATAATACTTATGTATCTCAAAAGAGGGTTGTGAGGATTAATTAGTTAATATTTGTAATATGCTTTCAAGATGTAAAGTGGAGTATAAATTCTAATTACAGTTTTATACACAGTGTGTGATGCACTGGGCTATAATTCATTTTGCAAAAATGACTTATGAGACCCTACTGTGTGCCTCATAAGGTACATCTGCTTTTCAAGCTGGAGGTGTAATTTCCATCTTAAGGAGACATACACACTCTAGTTCTGATCGAGTTAGCATGCTAAAAATAGAACGTAGCCGCCACCGTGAGAGCGTCAGGAGGTGCTAGCCACCCTGAGTACACATCTAGCGTCTTGGACAGGTACATACTCAGGGCAGCTGCTTGCATCGCCATGGCTACACTCTGTTTTTAGCTCTCTGGCTCAATCACAACTGGCATGGATATGTTTTCCCTGGAGCTGGAAGTTACACCTTCCAGTTCAAAGTGTGAACATACCCTTAATGAACTGGTCTCCAGGATGCCTCTTGCTCAACGCTTTTTAAACCAGTTTTCATAGAAGAATTGGATAGGCCAATTAAGCTAAGTACTCAAGGAGGGCAAGATAACTAATGGGGAACAGTGGCTTGATAGCCCACTGCAAAGTATTTGTACATAATGCCATTAAAATAAGGTTCTGTGCTTACACTAGATGATCTGTTCCCTTTCACCATGCTGATTGCTCTTCACCTGCTGTCCACACAATTCCAGTCTACGATATTTAGCCCATCCATACCAATGGATTTTGTACTGAAAGTGGGTAAAATATTTGAAGCTTTTAAAAATGTGAACCATTTGTTCACTAAATGTGAGACCAGTCATAAATCTGGTAACTTGTTTAAAGGAATGTGATTTGTGAGAGGAATAACACCTATGACATAGAATGTTTTAAAACATAATTGCCCAATTCCTGCTAATTTTACTTCATCTATAACTGGAAGATGGAGAAACAAACTGCTACCACAATTTTTTCAAAGTATGTATTGTCTGCTTTCCAGCTTCAATACCTAAATCAGAAAAGACCTCCCTAAAATCTCCCTAGACTTATCCTAACTAAAGCATAGGTATCTAATCCTTGCACTTTGACTGGTCACTCGGGTATCTGGCTGAAAGCTCCCTCCATCATCTGCCTTCTCCGTTTCCTCGGGAATTTTATTTTGTTCATTATTTAACATTTGTATTGCAGTATGTGTTGTACAAACATCATAAATGACAATCCCTGGCCCAAAATTACTTACAGCCTAAAAGACAAGACATAACAGGTGGGTGAAACAAAGAAGTGGGCAAGGATTGGGAGGGAGAGATGGTGTCACAAAGAAATATAATAGAACACGCCAGTTCTTAGCTGATCAGTAGTAATGATCACAGCTTTCTACTTGCCTAGCTAATCTCAGGTTCTACTTTACAGTACACCTTACAGAAGAGGTGAGTTTTCAGGAGCATATGGCAGTAGCTTTACAGATTCTGACTGGAAGTTTTCCCTACTCATAAGTGGTGGCAAAAGAGAAAGCACAAAAGTGCTTGTTGGAGAAGCAGAGAATTGGGAAATTGAGGCTGGCATTATTGGCAGAGCACAGGTGGGAGTCAACCTTGTGATAAGCTAGGTAGGTTGAGGCCTGAACAGTGGAGAGCTTTGTGAGGACAAGGAGAGCTAATGGAAGGATTTAAAGAGCGTATTGACATAGTCAGAAAAATGAACCGAGAAGCTGATCTTAGAAGCAGTGATTCGAATGGATTTGAGGAAGGCGAGCTTGCAGGCATTGAGGCCAGAAAGGAGGAGATTACAGTAGTCAAGGAGCATGATGATCTGTGTTGGAGAAGAGTTTTGGCAGAGAGGAGAGAGAAGAATGGTTGGATTCTTGGAAAAGATGTGCATCAAGAAGGGTCCAGATTTATATGCACCCTGGTCTGAAAATCCATGAGGAGATCCAGAAAGACAGAGATTTTAGTTTGGATGGAGACAAGTCCAGAGTGGAGAGGCAAATTTGTGAGTCATCAGCATAAAGATGGTATTCAAAATCATGTTTGCAGATGAAATTGCACCCAGAGACAGGGTATAGAGGGAGAAGTGGAAGGGGCCAAGGTAGCAGCCTTCAGTGACCCCCACCAAAAGAGGAAAAGGGAAAGAAGATGACCCACCAAGAAAGACACTGAAGGAGATATACAAGAGGTCAGAGAAAAAACAGGAGAGGACAGAGTCACAGAAACCTAGCGATAACAGGATTTCAAAAGGTTGGCATTGTCAAAGGCAGCTGATAAGTCAAGGAGGATGAGGGTGGAGTAGCTGCCTTCATACTTGGCCAAGGAGAGGTCATTAGAGAGCTTGATGAGTGCCATTTCAGTGGACTGTAGGGGGTGGAAGCCAGACTGAAAGGCACCTAGAATGGACTTGTAGAAGAGGAATTTCAGACAGCCATTGTAGATGGCACACTCAGTGGGTTTGGAGATGAAGGGACATGGGGTGATAAATTTGAAGGGGAAGTGGAGTCAAGTCTGGGCTTTTTTTATAGAGAGACCAAAACATATTTATATTGTATGTGGAAGGAAACTGAGGAGAGTAAGAGGTTGAGGAGAAGAGTGAGGACTGGTGTGAGGGTGATTTTGACTCTCTGCTTCCAACCCATTGTGTTTTCATTGCAACTGCTGGCAGCCACGTTCCTTTGTAATGAGTGTCACAGTTTCAGAGTAACTACATCTGTTCCCCTTCCATGGTTTACTTCAGGAGTGCCCAGTCAGGTCTCAGCTCTCCAGCAATCCCCTGTCTCTGAGCAAGGCCCTTGTCCCACTCCCTTCTGACTGGGAGTTTTAAGGCTGCACAGCCCCCTGCCATACACAGTGATATCCCCAGTAAGCCAGCCTGCCTAATGGCATTTGCTTTCTCTCCGAAGGCTATGAACAGTGCACTGCCAGCAGTTACAGAGAAAACATAATAAAAACAATAAACAGATTTAAACATACACTAAACATACCAGGAGTCACCAATCTGTTTGATGGGGCCCTAGTAGGCCATAGTCTTTTGCAAGGGTTTGGTCCCCCTTGGACAGAAGGTCCTGTTCATTTGCTGTATCAGACAGAAGGTCCCAAGTGAGTTTAAATGCAGTCAAAAGCCCATTTTTTGTCTGTTGGTCTCTGGAAAATCCAGTTTAAAGTAGTATATTCAAGCCTCCCCAGGGGTGGTACCTATCTAGAGATGTTTACAACCCATGTGACTCACCTTAATCACACCCCCCCCACACACACACACACACTGATTTTGGTTTCTGCAGGAGTTGTGGTAATCCTCCGCCCTGGAGTTGCATACAATCCCTGGTCCATAGTGATACATGGACTTAATACAATATGGCCCCCAAAGATTCTGCAGTACCTGTCACAATGAGGATGTGTACCAAACCTAATACGACAACCAGGTTTTCACTGACAATGCATAGTATTTCCTAACTGAGTTCAAATTGTGCCTATCACTAGCTGCCTCTAGATACAGGGACATAAATATAAAACACATGCATTAACCCAAAGTAAAGTGACACAGTCTCAGCAATAGAACATCAGAGAACTTACCAAACGGCAAGAGAAATCCAGTCTCTTTTAGTCCATCTTATAAGACAAAAGCCTGAGAAAATAGACAGGCTTTGCAAAGTGTCCAGAAGCTCAACAGACTAGAGTGCCTTTGATCCACTGGAAAAAGCAAGTTTCAGAATCAGGGACGTTTCACTGAGCACTCTAAGTACTCAGCCTCCAGACATACCAATTTAGAGACCATCAGCAAGTGTCTCAACAAAAAGAAAAAAGGATTGGAGACCTAAATTTTATGGGTCATTATAGAATGATAATCAACCCCTTGAATTGCACGTGGAAATAATACCCCCTCCTCACCATATAATTATGTTGTGAAAATAAATCAATGTTCGTGAAACACCCAGATATTAGAGTGATAAGAACCATATAAAAGCCCATGAGGAAATTAATAATTTTGTCTTCTGAGCGCGATTTGAATAGTGTGCAGTAAATCAGGCCTGGGGCTGCATGTTGAACAACCAGGAGAAAACAAAATATTGAATGGATTATCATTAAGTGAACACCAGCCTTTCTGTGCACTAAAAGAGGCAGGGTCCTGTGGGAAAAATAGTGTATGATCATGTAATTAGAGCCTGTATAGAATTATAGAACTGGAACTAGAACTGGAATCTCCATCTCTGGAGATATTTAAGAATAGATTAGATAAATGTCTGTCAGGAATGGTCTAGACAGGATTTGGTCCTGCCATGAGGGCAGGGGACTGGACTCGATGACCTCTCGAGGTCCCTTCCAGTCCTAGAGTCTATGAATCTATGAAGGGACCTCAAGAGGTCATCGAGTCCAGTCCTCTGCACTCCAGGCAGGACTAAGTATTATCTAGACCATCCCCGACAGG